AAATAACGATGGCCTCGCTGTCTGTATGATAAGTATATTATTCTATATTGTTTGTTTTAATAAACACAAAAAAATCATACAATAATTTAATTTTAATAAGTGTACTTTGAGAGATATTTTCAATCTATTCGTTTCTTAAACTAGGTTATATCGACATACTTGCAGTTAAAAGGTAGAATTTAGAATATCCCGTTGAAACATTATTGAAAATTATGCAACGTTTATAAATATTAATTCTATTTTTAATTACATTCTTTAGCATTGAAGATGGAATAGTGGCATATGATTGTCTTTAATTAATTTTATTATGGATATTTAAATAGTACCGAGACAACATCCAGTAGGAAAGATGTTTTATTTGGCTACAATTTTCAAATTACAGAAATTAGATTCCCACTATCGTCCGTTTGTCCGTCTGTTTGTGAATTTCGAGAACGGAGTTAGATAAAAATCGAGACTAGATATGGAAAGCGTAGGGGCACGAGGCATGATTAACTATATACGAATTTCCGGTTGGAACTGAAAGACACATGATTTTTTTAAAATTAAAAGGTGATTAAAAATTGCAGCCCAACAATTGCTCATTAGGTTTGAAAATTATTTTGATAACATTTCGATAGAGTAATGTTTGAAAACTTGTACAAAATTAAGAAGACGAAATACAGTCGACCCCCCTATAATTACGGTCCCTATAGTTACGATTCCTATAAAACTACGAAAAAATTGCTACCGGTATCCGTAAAAAATAGTAAAAGTTCCCTATAAACACCTCAAACGTCATCGGGAAGCCGAACTACTTTCCCGCCGTCCGTAGCGCCACGCTACGGAGAGATTTCTATCGTCTGGACAGTATTATATAAATTATATATAAATTAGGTACTGTACATATAATTATATATTAATTATATATAAATTAGGTACTGTATATATAATTATATATTAACTTATTGTAACTTTGTTATAATTAAATATATAATTTCCGCCGTCTAGCGTGGCGCCACGCTACGGAGATTTTTACGCTAACTATCGTCTGTCAGTATGTAAATTAGGTACCGTAAGTCTAATACAGTACTGTAATTTTATACATTTCTTGTGAAAGAAACATTTCTTATTCAACGGCGATTAAAATTATTTATATTAATGATGTCTCCGAAGTTCTACGAAGTTTTCACAGAAAAATAAGTTGTTAGAAATCGGCCGCTCTTTGCTGAGCTGTTCCGCGACGAAAACAATGTTGAGCAATGGCAATGTCGAATGGTGACACTCGGTAAGTAATCCTACAATTTTTTGTTTATAGCGTAGTTTATACGGATTATTCCCAAAAAATATATACGTATTTTGGAAATGTTGAGTCGGATTAGTCTAGAATCGATTAATTTTATGGAAGAAAATCTTTCAAACAGCCGTAGTCCGTAAACTTGACACGTGTCGGGTTGTGATTGGAAGGATTCGTAAGAAAGCGGATTCCTAGAGAATGGAACGTATCTCTGTCTTATAGGGGGGTCGACTGTAATTTATTTTGGTTGATTTTACTAAATTTCTTATAAGTATATAAGAAGAAAGGAACGTAGGAGAAAATAAAGAATTAATGACAAGGTTTAATTTATTGATAACTTTATTTTTAATATTGTAACATTTTATATTAATTATAAATTGTTTCAATATTAATATTCCAAGAATTTACAATAATACGAGTACTTCTTCTACCTTCTTAATAGCCTACAAAGGAGGGCTGAGTTGACATTGTGTCAAGTTCGGCTAACAAAACATCTACAATTACAATTAAAAGTTTATTATATTTTAGCCTTTTCTATATCATCTGCATGAATTAGACTGGATAACAAAATGTTTGTGATTTTATCACAGGATAGTATTGGAGAATAACAGTATATTTTAGGCTGAATATTTATGCTATTATAATGTTATGAAACTAAATTTCTGTCGTAACACATGGCCAGTTTACGTTATCTAAAATATACCTATAGTGAATATTCCACTTATATTCTGCTCAAGAATATCTTTTAGAGTTCAGCAATAGTCAACTACTATATTTTCGGTCCATTTGTCCTGTAGCATTTTCCTCGTCCTGATAAAAATGTTCAATGTTCATTACTGATGGTGCCAAGATTATCAAGAAAGAAGTCCTAAAAAAATAATTTTTTTTAATGAACAGTAAAACCCAATGATTAATATGAATTCTAAAAATCGACTATTTCATCGTGTATAACTTTCCAAAACGTTTTTTGTAAAGTTTTAGAAAGATTGCCTTGCATGAGTTTCCACTTAAATCAACTGATTTTCAAATTGTTCATCACTAATTTCATTATTTGGAAACTCATAAATAACCTGCTTTGATTTAAACATCATTCAACCTAGAAATGCATATCTGAAATACATAAATACAAGATCAGTTTGGTCCATTATCATCATAATAAAATTTTTCATTAGATCAAGTTGGATGTGTTTTGCGGGTAGATACTTTTACAGGATTTACCGATTGCTCACGCTGTCCACATACTGATTTTCGTTTTAATTACTGCTTTTGTATATAGCGAGTCTTTGATATCTTAAAGAGAAGGACAACAGAAAACTTTATTTGCCTAATCTGTAAGCCTCTCTAAATTAATCACTAAAAATCCTTCTGCTAGAAAATCTATTTTATGAAAATAAACTAATTAATATAAAAATATAATATACAGGGTGGTTATAATTCAACTGTGACCGTACTCAGAGCCTGCTAGGATCAGCTCAAGGTCGATGGCGGACAAAGGCCGACGAAAGTTGGTATATATGATAGTCATACTGCAGGGAATAAATTTCTAGAGAAAAAAGCTAGCTCGAATTTTCGCCAATAGGCAAAATTACGGCGCTTTAAGAACCAAAATCGTAAACAAGCAAAGCAAAACGTTTTTTCCACATTATTTTACATCACGTGTCAATATGCGAACCATTTGCGTCGATTGTATGTTGGAAGCGTAATTTTGGTGTAATCAATTGTCTCACAAAGCATTTCGGTCAGAACATTAACGATATGCTGCCTCACGCTTACTTTCAGTTGAGACAGAGACTGTTATAGGTCAGGCACGTTGTTTTTCACAGTAGTTTGCATAACATTACAATCACCTTACTTATTATTGAAGCGCCATATTTTCGCCCTGTGCTGGAAAATTTCAACTAATTTTTGTTTTACAAAATCTATTGTTTCTGATGAAAATAACATATATGCCAAATTTCAGCGACATAAATTCATTAGAACCTTTTCCAGAAGACTCCGAGTAGGGTCAGATTTAATTATAACTACTCTATATAAAGTTTTGCCTTTGTATCCAGAGTATAAATTTTAATATTTGAATATTATTATTTATTTGCTGTATATGAAAATAATATTAAACGATTCGAATTTTAATATATTTTTAATTAGATGTTTTCTTGTTTATTCAAATGAAAATTCGTGCTTTTACTAAATCAGTAGTAATAGCAAGAAATAGACATATTTTGATAATTTTGAATAATGAATAAATGTACATAAAACATTAGGTATGCAATTATAATTAGTTATAATTAAAAAAGTTTGACATTTATTTTCAATTTTGTTGATTGTAAGAAATGATTATTGAAGAAAGCTTAATAACACTGCACTACTTTTATGTATTGTCTAATGAATCTACTAGCGAGGTCGAGACTGAAGTTTTAAACGCGAAAACGTGTACGTCGGACGTTCAGCGCCGCTTTCCTGAAAGCCTAGAAGTTTGACAATGGTGTTTGGAATGTCGAGCATGCTTCCACTGACTATCCAATCACCATTGTCAAACTTCTAAGCTTACAGGAAAGCGGCGCTGAACGTCCAACGTACACGTTTTCGCGTTTAAATCTTCGGCCTCAACCTCGCTATTGTGTTTTGTAGGAATCGATAAGTAACTTTATGAAAAATAAGTACAATATTCACTAAAAGAAAGACATCTTGTAGAATGAAGTACGAGTTTTAACTAAACTACTTAAACCTGTCGAACGTCTTCAGTTTAAATCAAAGCAAAATCATTATTTTTTTTTTTTTATTAGAAATCGAATTCGGGACTTCTGCACTTTTATGGCATTCAGTACAGAATTCCTAACTAGAAATTCTTTTCCCGGATATTATTTATAATTAAAGTCATTAAGCAATTTCAACTTCATTATTATGTTGTTTAAAGACAAAATACATTTTAATATGAAGATAATTGTTGAACTATGTATTCTGTTTAATTTTTAGCTTTTACTCATTCAACATCATTTTTTTCACATTAACATATTTTCACTAAAATTTATTCTACGTAAACTTTAATGTTCATCTTGATTTCATTGATTTCATTAGTTACCAATTATTTTTACATTAGAAAATTTGAATATTCAGGAAGAAAATGTTTTATTGAATATTATTAGATATATCGATGCTGATTATATGAATCGTAAAATGGCATTTTCCTGATCTCATTGGCTGCAATTTAAAAAAAATTGTAGTCCTGTAAATTCCCACTTCCGTCCGTCCGTCCGTCCGGCGTCCGACTGTCTCTCCTTAATCTGGAGAACTGAGAGATGAATGGCGAGACGAGATATGGAAACCTTAGGGGCAGAAAGCCCCGATTAACTATATAAGAATTTCCGATCCAAATTGGAAGTCACGTTATTTCAATTCAAGTATTTTCCCCTGAAAGCAGTTAATAGGTAACCGGCAGGACTTTATTGTTAAACGAAAAGTATGATGTACAGTACAGGGACAACCCACTACTAATAACTTTAGGTGGAGAGCATATATTTTAAATAAAATACATAAATAAATATTTTTGAAAATCGGAGCACGGCATTGTGACGATGTCACAATAAATAATTGCTCGTTTAGAGTAACAAAAAAATTAATGCGTTTAAAATTAAAATGATGTACAAAATATTGGCTAGCAAATAAATTTTATCAAAAATAAAAGAAGAGAAAGAACAAATTGATTATTTATTATTGTAATTTTCAGAACTTCCACCAATTAAAGCTCCCGTTGGTCAAGCACCTAATCCTAACTTGAAGAACGTTAAATCTAAGATCGGTTCCTTAGATAACATCAAACATAAACCAGGAGGAGGCGAAAGAAAGGTGATTTTTAATTTGTTTTATTTTAAAATTTTTATTCGTTTTTATTGTATATCTTACGTATTAATCTAAATTAATTCGAAGAAGTCAAATATTCAGGTGGCAAGTCAAAAATTAGAATGGCAAGCCAGTTCAAAAATAGGATCATTGGAAAAGGCCAGTCATAAGCCGGGAGGAGGCGATAAGAAGATTTTGGTTCAGAAACTCGATTTCAAAGATAAAGCCCAATCTAAGGTTGGATCACGCGATAATATCAAGCACCAACCTGGAGGAGGTACAATTAAGGTATTCAAGTTAAAATATTATTGCATGCTTTGCTAAATTTTTTGTATTGCTTGTTATATTGTAATGTTCACTAATTTTTATTTGCATGTTAGCATGAATCTGCTTAATTTCATTAAATGTTTTTTAATCTTCAGAAACAGCATGTGCAAGCCGAAAGTGGACAGGATAGAGTACGTATGATATGCTTAATTCACCATAATCGAAATTGTAAGCATCGCCAAAGATGCATGGTTTAAAACAACACACGCTGATTTATTGGTTAACATTTCTCACATTTAAAATTTGAATTATCCAGTCCGAACTTGAAAAGTAGTCTGACGACTGATTGCTTAAACTTTGAAATTTAGTGTTTGATTGTAATGTTTTTTCGCCCTTTTATAGATCGAAACACAAAAGACGGACTTCAAGCAGCGTGCCTCTTCCAAAGTAGGATCTTTGGATAATATTAAGCATCAAGCTGGAGGTGGTAATGTTAAAATAAGATCTGACAAGTTAAATTTTAAAGAAAGAGCATCTTCCAAAATAGGCTCTCTTTCGGGGTCTGAGAAAGGAAGTACTCATGGCTCAGATTCGCAGGTATGCGTGTCAATTGTTTAATTTCAGAATATCAGTTTATTCTAAGTTTACAATAAACTGATTATACGTCGCTCTTATTGGCATGCATTAATTAAATTTACCTCTGCAGAATCGCTCAGCATTTGATTTTAATTTTAAAATAAGATTATCTTTTAATGGAAAATTACTTATTTAAAAAGATATGTAAGATGTAATATATTCGTATAGTCGATAATTCTCATAGATTTACGGTAAAAACATATCTTTTGCGTAATTTTTGAAACCAGATTTAATTTAATGTATACAGATTTCTTCATTTCTTTCGAAAAGTCCGAAAATAATACGTTTGAATGTAGAAACCAACCGTACTTATATAACGTCAGATCAATATAATTTAAAATTGCAAAATTTAATGTACATTGTTTGAATTAACAAAGATTTTTCCATGAAAACGGTATAATAGTGGAATTACTCAAATTTCAAATAAAACTAATATCTTTCAGAGTCCCATCCCACCTTCATCTCCAACTCCGGGAGACGAGCCAGGAACTTCCATGCCACCCGTATCTGAGAATGGAGAAGAGAATGGGATCTCTCCAACCGAAGATAGACAACTGGATGGTGATGCATCACCCGAATCACCAGAAGCTCTCAAAGCCACTTCGGTTAGTCCGCAAGCCGCTCAATGCTGACAGAAAACACCGATTTCTCTGTAAAACCTACTTACTTCTTGTGTGTAATCTTTCTTAGAAGAAGAAACTAAAAAGTTTAAAAAAATTTAAAAATTATTGGGAAGATCATCCATCAATCGTAAACATAATCCAGGGAAAATTCATTAAAATTTACTTTTCCCTGTATTAATTATTAAATATATTACCATATTATGATAATGCTATTTATCGGCTTTCGAANTATAAGATTATATATTCGTAAATTTCATCGCATGCGGTCTATGCACAAGGATGACTAATATACCAATTATCTAAGTATCGCAATGAACGGACTAACATATGAAGGATATAGGTTGTAGACCTTTTCAATCAGTAGTTGCCAAAGGCGCTTCAAAAATAGCCAGAAATGGTCAAATACTTGTAAAAGATAGCCTAAATGGTTGTCACATTTTTGTTTTAAAATGTCTAATTGATGATGAGATAAAATCAAATATGCATATTTAATCACATCATGTTTCTCCGCGATATACTGATGATAATAATTTTAAAAGCCTTCTTAAAGTTTGGCAAAATTGACCAACAAAATGTTTTAATTACACGTCATTTTGACGTAATTAAATCTAATACATAATACAGTGAGGATTATATAAATAGTGTTATCCTGATGATGTTCCTTTCTTATTGGATTTTATTCTAGAATCGTACGCTAAGTCCTTGGCTACAGGCGAGGCCATCGTTATTCAAGGCCTGCTTGTAAGTGTTATGACGTCACAGTACTGGTCATTTCCTTAGTGATCATCAAAGCGTTGCTGATCATTTATCGAATAATTTTTATAAAATAATCACTTTTTAAATTACTTTATTGAAGTAATATTTAAATGTCATAAAAGTATTAAATAATTTTTAAGTAAGAACGTTTCATAAATAGAGAACAACACTGCATGATTAACTTTTAAATTTATTTTAAACAAACAAATATATCAAAAGTCTTGCAAATCTTGATGTTTCAATATTTTGAAACAACTTAACAGCATGGGTTACTTGTGGTTGATGGGTTGATTATCACGTTCAAATAATTTTTTTCTTCTGTCATCACCAGTTTTTCTTTTGGCAGGAGGCTTATGTGAAAGGTAAGCTGGAAAATTTGGAAATATAGAAGGATATACTTCTTCAGTTAGTTTTGGTCTTAATCTAGGACTATTTACCATGACCCATCATCTCTTGTTACTTTATCTTCTTTGATGATAAATTTGTCATCAAAATGTTTAATACACACAACACTGTTTTTAGAAGGAGAAAAGTCATTAGATGGTATAGCTTTATTCCACTTACTAATCATTTCTGGACTTTCGGGAAAAGAGAAAACTGTTGTATACCTTCTGTAGATGAGTAATTGCTTTTACAGCCTGTCATACAGCATCTTTGAGTGAATCTATTAAGTAAATACATATACTGTATGTAAATTCTTTTTAGTTATAATGTAAAGTAATTAGTAACATATTCTTACCCATATCTACTGTAGACAATTCAATATATTATTAACTTTTGTTATATAGTTTTTTCCAATTTTATTCTAATTAAACTAGTTTATTCATTTCACTTAGAATTATAAGAAATTATTAATATTTTAATAAGTGGGGCAATTTAGGTAATTTGTACAATTTATACAAGTTGTCGAAGTCTTTTATTGAATTGCGAAGAAGAAAATCTTACCATTATTTATAATATTCAATATATAAATCAAACTGATTTTATCCACGAAAAAATATAATGTATATTTTTATATATGTAACTAAAATATTTTTTCTTTTAAAGTATATTTACGAATTAATTTGAAAATGTTTAAAAATGTCCTACATAGTAATTACAGTAGTTATGTGCTTAAAATACTCCAAATTTCTTTCTTTTATATATTTAATAATTAAAAAAAATGTCTTACCGTTCATTAACTATATGAAGATAAATATCTAAATAATATCCAATTTGATAAAATTATAAAATGAACTGGAAAGACAATCTTCAATATAACCAACGCTACGTTGTCCAGTAAACTGTAAATGACCAGTGGTTTGACATCACGATTTTTAACGGGGATTACAAGAAGGCCTTAAATAACGATGGCCTCGCTGTCTGTATGATAAGTATATTATTCTATATTGTTTGTTTTAATAAACACAAAAAAATCATACAATAATTTAATTTTAATAAGTGTACTTTGAGAGATATTTTCAATCTATTCGTTTCTTAAACTAGGTTATATCGACATACTTGCAGTTAAAAGGTAGAATTTAGAATATCCCGTTGAAACATTATTGAAAATTATGCAACGTTTATAAATATTAATTCTATTTTTAATTACATTCTTTAGCATTGAAGATGGAATAGTGGCATATGATTGTCTTTAATTAATTTTATTATGGATATTTAAATAGTACCGAGACAACATCCAGTAGGAAAGATGTTTTATTTGGCTACAATTTTCAAATTACAGAAATTAGATTCCCACTATCGTCCGTTTGTCCGTCTGTTTGTGAATTTCGAGAACGGAGTTAGATAAAAATCGAGACTAGATATGGAAAGCGTAGGGGCACGAGGCATGATTAACTATATACGAATTTCCGGTTGGAACTGAAAGACACATGATTTTTTTAAAATTAAAAGGTGATTAAAAATTGCAGCCCAACAATTGCTCATTAGGTTTGAAAATTATTTTGATAACATTTCGATAGAGTAATGTTTGAAAACTTGTACAAAATTAAGAAGACGAAATACAGTCGACCCCCCTATAATTACGGTCCCTATAGTTACGATTCCTATAAAACTACGAAAAAATTGCTACCGGTATCCGTAAAAAATAGTAAAAGTTCCCTATAAACACCTCAAACGTCATCGGGAAGCCGAACTACTTTCCCGCCGTCCGTAGCGCCACGCTANGCACTTTTATGGCATTCAGTACAGAATTCCTAACTAGAAATTCTTTTCCCGGATATTATTTATAATTAAAGTCATTAAGCAATTTCAACTTCATTATTATGTTGTTTAAAGACAAAATACATTTTAATATGAAGATAATTGTTGAACTATGTATTCTGTTTAATTTTTAGCTTTTACTCATTCAACATCATTTTTTTCACATTAACATATTTTCACTAAAATTTATTCTACGTAAACTTTAATGTTCATCTTGATTTCATTGATTTCATTAGTTACCAATTATTTTTACATTAGAAAATTTGAATATTCAGGAAGAAAATGTTTTATTGAATATTATTAGATATATCGATGCTGATTATATGAATCGTAAAATGGCATTTTCCTGATCTCATTGGCTGCAATTTAAAAAAAATTGTAGTCCTGTAAATTCCCACTTCCGTCCGTCCGTCCGTCCGGCGTCCGACTGTCTCTCCTTAATCTGGAGAACTGAGAGATGAATGGCGAGACGAGATATGGAAACCTTAGGGGCAGAAAGCCCCGATTAACTATATAAGAATTTCCGATCCAAATTGGAAGTCACGTTATTTCAATTCAAGTATTTTCCCCTGAAAGCAGTTAATAGGTAACCGGCAGGACTTTATTGTTAAACGAAAAGTATGATGTACAGTACAGGGACAACCCACTACTAATAACTTTAGGTGGAGAGCATATATTTTAAATAAAATACATAAATAAATATTTTTGAAAATCGGAGCACGGCATTGTGACGATGTCACAATAAATAATTGCTCGTTTAGAGTAACAAAAAAATTAATGCGTTTAAAATTAAAATGATGTACAAAATATTGGCTAGCAAATAAATTTTATCAAAAATAAAAGAAGAGAAAGAACAAATTGATTATTTATTATTGTAATTTTCAGAACTTCCACCAATTAAAGCTCCCGTTGGTCAAGCACCTAATCCTAACTTGAAGAACGTTAAATCTAAGATCGGTTCCTTAGATAACATCAAACATAAACCAGGAGGAGGCGAAAGAAAGGTGATTTTTAATTTGTTTTATTTTAAAATTTTTATTCGTTTTTATTGTATATCTTACGTATTAATCTAAATTAATTCGAAGAAGTCAAATATTCAGGTGGCAAGTCAAAAATTAGAATGGCAAGCCAGTTCAAAAATAGGATCATTGGAAAAGGCCAGTCATAAGCCGGGAGGAGGCGATAAGAAGATTTTGGTTCAGAAACTCGATTTCAAAGATAAAGCCCAATCTAAGGTTGGATCACGCGATAATATCAAGCACCAACCTGGAGGAGGTACAATTAAGGTATTCAAGTTAAAATATTATTGCATGCTTTGCTAAATTTTTTGTATTGCTTGTTATATTGTAATGTTCACTAATTTTTATTTGCATGTTAGCATGAATCTGCTTAATTTCATTAAATGTTTTTTAATCTTCAGAAACAGCATGTGCAAGCCGAAAGTGGACAGGATAGAGTACGTATGATATGCTTAATTCACCATAATCGAAATTGTAAGCATCGCCAAAGATGCATGGTTTAAAACAACACACGCTGATTTATTGGTTAACATTTCTCACATTTAAAATTTGAATTATCCAGTCCGAACTTGAAAAGTAGTCTGACGACTGATTGCTTAAACTTTGAAATTTAGTGTTTGATTGTAATGTTTTTTCGCCCTTTTATAGATCGAAACACAAAAGACGGACTTCAAGCAGCGTGCCTCTTCCAAAGTAGGATCTTTGGATAATATTAAGCATCAAGCTGGAGGTGGTAATGTTAAAATAAGATCTGACAAGTTAAATTTTAAAGAAAGAGCATCTTCCAAAATAGGCTCTCTTTCGGGGTCTGAGAAAGGAAGTACTCATGGCTCAGATTCGCAGGTATGCGTGTCAATTGTTTAATTTCAGAATATCAGTTTATTCTAAGTTTACAATAAACTGATTATACGTCGCTCTTATTGGCATGCATTAATTAAATTTACCTCTGCAGAATCGCTCAGCATTTGATTTTAATTTTAAAATAAGATTATCTTTTAATGGAAAATTACTTATTTAAAAAGATATGTAAGATGTAATATATTCGTATAGTCGATAATTCTCATAGATTTACGGTAAAAACATATCTTTTGCGTAATTTTTGAAACCAGATTTAATTTAATGTATACAGATTTCTTCATTTCTTTCGAAAAGTCCGAAAATAATACGTTTGAATGTAGAAACCAACCGTACTTATATAACGTCAGATCAATATAATTTAAAATTGCAAAATTTAATGTACATTGTTTGAATTAACAAAGATTTTTCCATGAAAACGGTATAATAGTGGAATTACTCAAATTTCAAATAAAACTAATATCTTTCAGAGTCCCATCCCACCTTCATCTCCAACTCCGGGAGACGAGCCAGGAACTTCCATGCCACCCGTATCTGAGAATGGAGAAGAGAATGGGATCTCTCCAACCGAAGATAGACAACTGGATGGTGATGCATCACCCGAATCACCAGAAGCTCTCAAAGCCACTTCGGTTAGTCCGCAAGCCGCTCAATGCTGACAGAAAACACCGATTTCTCTGTAAAACCTACTTACTTCTTGTGTGTAATCTTTCTTAGAAGAAGAAACTAAAAAGTTTAAAAAAATTTAAAAATTATTGGGAAGATCATCCATCAATCGTAAACATAATCCAGGGAAAATTCATTAAAATTTACTTTTCCCTGTATTAATTATTAAATATATTACCATATTATGATAATGCTATTTATCGGCTTTCGAACCCCCCAGACGACTCGCTGGATCTAAACATGTCAGCTTTCTTCCCTTCTATACCTCTTCCATTTATATCGTTCTTCATAGACCCATGATATATACATCTGACAATTCAAAGCAGAGATCCAACGAATCGCCCGCCATCCCTATAGAAACTGTAATATTTCTGTCTTATTTTAGGTTGGAAAATGTCATTCACAATTGTCACAAATCGATGTTGTTTCAACGTATCCACAAATAAAATTATCAAGTTATGTCATTCTTCTTGTATGTGTGTTTTCAGGTTTATGTACGTATAGCTGCAGGGAATCGTAATTGTTTGACCATCATGGACTTCCGAATGATAAAAATGATTGTGTAACCACACGATTGTTACGTTTCCCTGTATTTAGTTAGTTTAATTGTTCAATTTTGCTTTAATTTAATGGAGGTTGAGCGTTTTTTGAATGTCAACCCCGATTGTCCAAGTGGGGGGTGGCGGGTTATAACGGGATATGGGGATAAATTATAAAAACAAAAAATATATATATATACACACACAAAAACTCACCTTTTATAGCAGTTTTTTTGTAATGTTCGCAGGAAGGTCAGTTTAGCAAATTTAGGGTACAAGAGGTACCTGCTATACGTCTTAAATTCGGAACATATTGCTTTGCGGAATATATCATCGGATCACTTGGTTGTGTACCTGATCAAAATGGCGCCTCTTCCAAGAAAATGTTGATAAGGATCTGCGCAAAAATTTGTGTATATTTTGTGTGTTGGATGGGACTGATTTTATGTTCTAATATCGATTTTTGGGAAGCTTTATAAATCTGGTCAGGCTGACAGATTTTAAAAGAAAAAAAAAATAAAAATAAAACTACAAATCGGTTCAATCATTGATTTGTGTTAAGATATGATAATTCAATATCTGATTGAGCTGATGTCGTCTATTATGTATATTTTGTCAAATTTTTCGCTTTATGCTGAACCAGTTGTGCTGTGTTCGACGTTATTATGGAAATTGTTTAATTTTTTGTAGAGATAAATAAAATTTAGTCCCCAACCATTATGAATTGCTTTTCATGGGATTAGACATTTTAAAAATTATTTAGAGACGCGTTGTATCAAAATATAAACAATAAAACGAACTCTGAAAGACAGAAGGGCTTTTATTTAATTTTTTAAAAATAAAAACAGCAATTTTTTGCAAGATAGAAATTTATACTTTGTGCGGGATTGAAAAGTTTAGCTTTATGAACTTTGTCGAGTCCTATAGATTAGACAGATCCATTAGGATAGTTTTCAATCCATATTATATAATATAATGTCACAAAGAGTTATAAAATTTTTGTTTTTATAAAATTTACTTATTTGAATTTATTTATTCATTAATGCTTTATTTAGGAAGTAATAAACATTTCCATAATAAAGCATATTTTTGTCAAAGCTGAGAAATAATCAATGCGATCACGCTTTTACAGCCATAGCAAAACGGAAAAACAGTTTTTATAATCCATTAGCGGTTCAACCAAATACACCACAATATAGCAATTTTGTTACAAATGAAAGGGACTATAATTATGAAAAATTATTTCATTTCTAAATTAAAGAAAAGCTTTTATATTTAATCTGAAAAACTTAATTTTAAGAAATCTTTAATGACTTTTTATTGCTGAAGTAAGATATAAGTTGCCTCATTATAAGAGCATTACTGTATTATTTATAATACAGGGATTTTGTGTTCATATTTTTCTTACTAATACTTCTTAGATAATTCCCTTAAAAGGATTGTTTATAAAATATTTAATTAATTTTTTTTATCGCTTTAAAAAGTCTATTGGGCCCCGAATTTTTTTGTGCAACTTGGAAATGATGTTCCCGTTGATAAAGTTAGGGTTTTATATAAAAGTTTTGATTTTGTCGTATCGATGAGGTCTAATTATAAAATAACTTATGATTCTTTATTGAAACAAGCATAAATATTTAAAAAAACACGGACATTTGTTTGTTATATTAGAATCTTTAATATAGTTTTCAATTAAATTAGGATTATTTCCTGCTAGTTATAGCTGGAGGGTTTCGTTTGATTTCGGATTGCAAAGGAAATACTTCCAACTATCTGATTGCTAAAGGAGGAAGTATGTAGCTCATCCCGAAAATTCAAAGAATGTGCAATTTCGAGCACTGTACTTATCCACAACAACGTTGATTAATGGGTTACCACAGGAGCAAGGAATTATATGCGTGCCATAACATTTTACTTTAATCCTGACAATTAGCTTATAAATTTATAGTATAGATTTAGAAAAGGAATGGATGCTTTTAAATGAAGAGTTCATCTATATACTTGTTAATGAGTCTATAGCAAGAATATTGTGTTCTGCGGAACACTAGAATTTCGCAAGCAAGCTTCCAGACTTCTACAAACATATCTATAAAACATTATTATTATCTTTACTAAAAAAAATTGAAAAATAAACTTTTTAAATTGAGCCTTGTTAAAAAACAAGGAGTTTCATTACTTAAAAAACGAAAAAAACATTGAAGAGTTTACAAGATCATTCTTTGTTTAAACTGCGAAACCACTGGACTATAATCAGCGATGGATGATGATAACATTTCAGACGAGCGTATCACTATAAATGGAAATGTATTCGCTAATTAGTCGTAAAAAGTATTTGTCTTTAGATATATAAACGTGAACAATTTATAGTAAAATAACTCTTCTTATAAGAATAATAACTTTTGTCTTGCTATCTGCGAAACCTTTAAAAATCTGAAGTAATCGTTTTTACCACAGATAAGGCTTCTATATATATTTATCTTGAAAATAACGGGCAAATTTTGGATATTTTCTAGGAATACTATAATATAGACTAAAATCCTGATTCTTTAAATAATGAATGTGATCTTAATAAGTACGTCTTAATGAGTTTCTTAAGAGACGACAAAATTAATTCTGGGTGAAAGTCCAATAAAGGATGAAGAGAAGTATTTGATGAGAGGTAAGAAATTAGGGTGCATCAATATTGTTTTCTTAATCTAAACTAGTAAAGAAGTTTGTTAAAAGGTCGAGTTAACTAATAAATTTCGAGTGGCCAATAAATCCAATCGATTCAATTTTGCCCAGTGTTGAGTAAAAAAGTGATGATAATATTTATCTATTATCTAATAACTAGTCCCCGGATTTATCCGAGAATCAGAGGATAGTTCCGAAAATAACACATTTTGCTTCTAACCGACGAAAATGAACTTTTTACAGTTTTTGAACTGAAATCAGCAAAAATGCTCGATTAATGGATTTTCTTGCAATTTTTTAAATACATTCATAATTTTTGGAGAAATACTGTAATGTATGCGGTCCTTGATGCCATTGTAGGCACCAAAAATCCATTTCGGATTTCAGAACAAAAGCAGCGATCTTCTGAAGTCGTTTTGTTCACTAAGTTGCCAGGTTGAATTACATTATGCCAAATTCAGGATTTGTTTTTTTTTTTTTAAATTGACAAAAATAGATAAGAAGCTAATAAACTTTATCTTTTGAGCTAATTTAATTTTATTCGGTAACTTTTTGACTACTTTTTAAATAAATTACTAGTGACATTTCCTAAGACCTGGCAACAGTGTGAAGTGCAGAAGTGTGCGCAGCCTTTAGCTTTTATATTCGGTTTACAGACCAAGAAATTTAATGGGTAAGCATAAAAGTTCTGTGCATGAACTTTTATGCTTACCCAGTGGGGGAAGGGAGTGAAGTTAGTCGAGAGAGACTTCACAGTGGATGGCTCAAAAGTGTTCTGCCAGGTATGCCAAAATACATTTGTGTGCATGAAGAAATCATGTACGTTCTGCAAGACACATGCAAGCAGCACGTCGACAGATCGAACATCGCAGATGCTGATCATAAAAATGGAATCTCAGGATCAAGGAAATATATTTTTCTTAGATATTTTTCTTAGATACAGAACCCTTATAGGATGTAATATAGAATTGCATAAACTGAAACATCCTTTGTTCAGGAAGTACTTAGAAAAATACACGAAGCAAAATCTTCCCGATGAATCAACACTTCGGAAAAATTATCTTCTACGTGTTCATCAGGAAGTGCTTGAAGAAATCCGCAAAGAAGTTAGTGACAATGCTGTAGATAAAACTACAAACTCATGAAGACATGCTTCAACGAGAGTAGGAAACTTGACGGAAAGACTACACTAAAATTCATCTTTTATGCAAATTTCTGGAGAGGATAAATGCAGAGGTGATAGCAATATTTGTTCAGGAAGGTCTAAAGTTATTGCGGCAAGATAAATTTCTTCAGAATACTGAAAAAATTCTCGTCATGCTTACAGACGGCGCAGCATACATGAAGGCTGCTGCACGCATTTTGAAGCCTTTTTTTATATAATCTGATTCACGTGACTTGCCTGAATCACGCAGTACATCTTCTGGCCGAACAAGTTCGTTTACATTTCAAAGATGTAAATGCCCTGATTTGTTCCGGCAAGAAACTACTTGCAAAGGCACCAATGCGAGCTGCTATGTATCGTGAGCGTCTGCCAGATACTCCTTTGCCATCCACTCCCATTGTCACGAGATGGGGCACATGCGTGGAACATTTACGTGTCTTTTAAAATTTTATCGATGAACTGGATGAATCAGAAAGTTCTTTCATTGTGGATGTTAAGGAAGCTTTGGAGAATCCACACATAACTGTTTTTCTAGTTTACATCCGCGCCCGTTTGTTAAATATTCCGGATATCATCGAAGCATTAGAAGCAAGAGGGTTGTCATATGAAGAATTTCTAAAAATTTTTCAAACATCAGAGGATTCTATACAAAATCATCCTGGTGTTGAGACAAACTTCGCATGACGCTAACGGCGCCTTTGGAGAACAGTGCTTTTTCAATGCTTCGCCAAGTTAATAGCTGTCTAGTCGGAAAATCATCGGAGATCCCTGAGATGTAGGGCTTGCCAATGTACCTTTGCTGAAATACTGTCCCGTGACTACAGTCGATGCCGAGAGAAATTTTTCATTGTATAAAAACATTCTCACTGACCATCGAGAGTCTGACAGAAGAAAATACTAATAGATTTCTTGTATGTGCATGGTCATATTCAAATCGTTTATTAATTAATGAAGTATACAATATTATAAACAGATAACTGAAGAAAATTTGATAATTTTGTTTTATTTTTATTACTTTTCTTGTTCCGAAAATAAATCCGAAAACACGATCTTTTGATCCCATTTCAGAACCGAACCTCCACTTTTATCGATCCGAAAAATCCGGGGCATACAGTTATAACTATAAAATTAATACTAGATTGAAGCTCTCCCCAATACGTTAAAATTATCGTTAAGTATAACCCGATAAGATCCTTTTTCAAATTAAATAAGTTGTAGGCTTCATATGACAATTGGAAATGATTGCTATAATCATTATTTTAACTTAACACACATTATTCTCTTAGTTGAATGAAAGAAAAAAACCAAATTTGATTGTTTGTTCCTCAGAAATTCAAATTAGAAGGATAAGATAAAATAAAAATATAAGCTTATATACCTATAATCAAATTAATAAAATAATTTTGGGGTTTATCTCGAAATTTATGATAATCAAAAGCTGAATTTAATGGACATCGAGTTCCATTGAATTATTTTTATTTAAATTCGCTAATTTTTTTTAGTATTTTCTGTTTTAAATTAGAGAAGAAACCAATAAAATAATAAATAATTATTTATATAATCAAATGTTATAAATTTAAGCGAACGAAAATCATAAAGTAGAACTGAATTTTTATTGTAATNTGTTTTACAGTTCTAAATTTTTGATCTAAAGAGAACATGTACAGTACGTTACTAAATACAGCTCATTCTCAAATTTCTCGTAAAAATGTTTTTATACACAGCAATTTACACAAAATAGAAAGTGTTGGCAGATGAAGTAAATGCTTGAGATATGAGAGAGCAGCTCCATTGTATCGGCAATTTCCAACACTAATGAAACGCAACAAATACAGTCATCTGAAACTGAAGGTGTTCTGTCATTTTCAAGAAGTGTGAGAAATTCAGAAAAAAACCATGAGCATGTAGAATGTCCCTTGTCCTCGTAGGCAGTTCCTCGTCATCCACCATACATCCAGATCTTGCACCTTTTGATT